AGAAAAATCATGTTGTGAATTCTTAAATCCAGGATAGAGTACGTTTAAAACAAAACTGTATATTGAATTTTAAAAGTCAATGATTAAAAGACACGTCTCCATTGCCGATGTTGTCGTCATTTTTTTGCCATCATTGTGTCTTTGTATATGCAAGAGGAATAAATTTACAGAAAGAATGTTGATGATAATTTTCTAAAACTTAAGTTTGGTTGTTTTGAAAGTCTTAACACGTATTTATATCAGCAGGCATGGTTAGCATGTTGCCCTTAAATATTTAACACAATTGTAAACGAAAGAGAAAGATGAAATGACAACTGGGAACGAGAGTGTGTGTATTCTTGTGGCAACGTCTGTACTTGTATAAAACGTAACAGTTTCCAAGTAAGCCTATATAAATTAGGATACTGAAAAATTGGTATGTTCGTTGATATTTTGATATTGTTCGTAAGAACCGCTTTTCAGTTTCTAACTAATAAAAGAAACTCCTCGTAAAAATTCCAAAGATAAATATGAAACTTTGTGGAGATGTAACTGTTCGCCATTAGTTCTATCAACCGATTTCCTGTGGTGATTATGTCAACATCTCATGTTCGCACTTTTTGTTTATTTGTGACAATAGGTTGTGGATACTTTGTCGCACACTTGTGACCCTTTTAAAAGTCAGCTGTGATAAGAATTATTTTCTTCGTGCACTTTAGATATCTACAGCTGTCCCAAAATTATGAATCCACTTAGAATGATATAAAAATGACGTCAGAAATTCTTTACTTAATTGATGGGTTTGAAATATCAGCCGCTTAAGTTACAACCTAGGGCTTGTGTATTCCTTGTGTACTTGAGTGGTTCCCGAATACTAGGATACCAACTGTGTAATGACGCGTTTTGTTTGTTAAATTACATTAGCACATTGTTGGGAAAGTTAACGACTATTTTCAGATCTTAAGCACTAAGTGAATAAGTGGGGCGATATTCTGTATAAAACCAGATACATTACGTATTGTGTGATTCTTTACGTTTTGAACATTAGATTAGAATGTTAGTCGATACTCTTAAAAGTAAACATCTAATTAGACTTTGAACGACTCTTGGGCACACAAAAAAAGAGTGTTGAGGGACATTTTTAGATTATTTAGCAGTGTGGAAATGAGTGTTTACAACAAACTAACACTTTTGGAATTGTATGCCATTTTTTCTAGTTTTCTTGGCCTTTACAACTGAGTTAGTCGAGACTTTGATTAACTACGTAGAACAATTTGTGACTGAATGTTCACGGCAATAGCGAATATTAAAAATGTTTTGTAATTTGATTAATTCAGCTAACATTTTATGAACAATATTGGTCGTAAAGCTGAATAAAACTACTACCTTCTATATACCGTAGTTTACTATTCTCTAAACAAAACAAACCCTAATTCTAGAAAAAAAATCAATATACATTAAATACATACATATATATATATATATTAGATGAAAGATTATTCTCCCTTGAGATGTACTTGACGAGAGTAAGTTGTCGTTGGTTATTTACAAGTATAGTTTTCAGTGCAACAAGTACGTGGGATCCTCTATGTTGTAAGGAACGTACGCTGTTAGCCCGGGAAATACGCCAATTATATCTCACCACCTGTTGTCAGTAGCAGTCTCAGCTCACAAGTTCTTATCTAAAGTTGAGTCGAGGACAAGCAACAATTAAGACTTCCTGCTAAGTCTTCTAAATATGGCCTGAAATCAACAGTATTGTTGTTGTTTTTCTGATCATTTTCAATTCGAAAACTTGTTCCAGTTTAATTAACTTATCTAGATTACTTATAGTCGCAACATGACTATCTGCAAGCTTAGTATAGGGCAAAAAAATAGGACAAGAAAAAAAGGCTTAACGACATCCTTATATTAGAACAACAATACATTTTTTTTTCCACATCATTAAGCCATGTAGCTCAGAAATATTCATTTGTTAGTAAACCTGATTTATATACAGCTAATAGTAATATTTATACCCACTACAATTATTGTTAGTGAATTATGTAACAAGTATTGAATTATGTAGCAAGTATACAAGATCAATATCTGTATGAATTATATCGAGATATCCTTGTATTTCATGTACTTTAGTTTTTGTATTGGCATCTATTCATTGGATTACATGAATATATTTTAAGAGTTTTAAAAGTAAGCATCAAATTATGTTTCATTATAATATAATTCAGGCTTACTTTATATTAAAACCAACTGATTTTATTCCCTGTACTAAAGAAATTTGCTGAAACCGAAACTGGATCAACAAAAGTCTGTCTAAACACATTTGCTTGAAACTTTTCTTAATTTTCAAACATCGAGTGTTTAACAATTCAACTAAAAATTACATTACTAATACAGCCCCCCAGTGGCACAGCAGTATGTCTGCGGACTTACAACGCTAGAAACCGAGTTTCGATACCCGTGGTTGGCAGAGCACAGATAGCCCATTGTGTAGCTTTGTGCATAACTCCAAACACACAAACAAAATTACTTATACAGCTTTTGTTCGTTTAGATTGCAGAAAGCTGTCGAAACCTGGTGGTGATAAATCACGTTTCTTTTTCATGTGGTTTAAGTCTAATCTTTTATAAGAGTAAAAATTCTTTTGTGACGAAATAGATTTGGTGCTATTTGTTAAACTCTTTTTTTAAACTCTTAAAACTGTCTAGCATTAATCTTAACAGAACTGTCAACAACAGTCAGTTTGCGAAATCATTGGGAATTTTAATTCGAATTAGTACAAATAATGATTTATTTATATATTAAAGAAACTTTCAGAACCAAAAACATTAACCCGATTAAGCAACATAAATTAGATTTAAACGAGTTAGCAGTCGTTGAAATGTGCAAGACTTTCGTGGTTTATCCATGTGGAAGTTTCCTCATTACGGTGGCGTCATGACTGCCATTAAAGTATGTTGTTAAATCCCATAGAAACGAAAAAGGAAACAGCACACATTTTAGTAAGATTTATTACGGAAAAATTCCTGGTATTTTTCTTTCAATATACAAACCATAGAAAAAAGGAAGTTAAAACATGGATTGATCTAAACACGTATAAATGATAGCTGTTAGAATAGAAATAATTTGGGAAGAATGTGCTGATAGAGATGCTGATATAAAATGTGCTTATCTTTAGGGGTTTATCAAACTGTTTACGTGTTGATTAAATTTAGATATATATATACATTCTTTCGGTGAGCTTTTGTTTTTAATGTTAAGTGTAGAAATATTTAAATAAACTAAAAGTTTCCAGTAACTTAGCACTTTTCAAGGGACCTTTGAAAGAAGAGAAACTACAAAATAAAATAATAATAATATGGGAAATTTATGTCAATTTGTATGATTTTAGGTGTACAAAACGTTTGTCCTATTGGTTAAAGAAATTTTGCTTCATAATCAGAAGTTGTAATGAGATTTTAGGTTCTTTGCTTCTGAGTCTAGATTTGGTAGACCTCGAGTACACAAAGAGTTGGTTTACTATATAAATTTAAAAAGCAATTTTTAATCTCATATCGTTACAGATTATGGAATTAATATTATTTAAAAAATAAGTAGTCACAGTAAATATTGTTTGGTTGCTATCAATTTCCTCAAAAAGTATTGTTTAGTTAACGCAAATTTTCTCAAATACTGTTGTTTTACTTACTAAAAGCTTTCTTAAGCAGTAATTCAATTAAACAACACGGGATCTCTCCTTCAACCAGAGGTGAAGTAGTGTTTTGGTGTAGCAGGACAAGGAACAAGAAATTTTGATAATTATTTCTTGGAGGTGTTGCTACACCGTTAGAAATTCTGGAATCTGCTGCTTCCAAATATGCAATCCATTTAATGGTAACATATTTCAGTCGGAAGTTTTTGGCAGTGAAAGAAACACATGGTTTTGGTGTGACTTCCCCACTTTACTAGCAACGGTCAATCGGAAGTTTTGACAGAGAAAGAAACACATGGTTTTGGTGTGACTTCCCCATATTACCAGCAACGGTCAGTCGGAAGTTTTGACAGTGAAAGAAACACATGGTTTTGGTGTGACTTCCCCACTTTACCAGCAACGGTCAATCGGAAGTTTTGACAGTGAAAGAAACACATGGTTTTGGTGTGACTGCACTACCTTACAAGCAATGATCAGATACACACAAATTGGTTAGCTCTTTGTATGCGTTTTTTCTTCATTACCTGAGATTGGAGACCTCGTTCTTGATCTGGCGAAAGGCTACTACTACTATCACTAATGTTCTTGTTATCCTCAAACCTATTTTTGATGTCGTCTTTGGGCTTCATATCCGCAACAAGGGCTGTAAAATGTCCATCGTGGTCGCATCCAGGCTACAAGTCAAACATCTCGAATCCTTGCATATGAAGATAAGCGAGAAACTGATGGTGATTCATGATGGTATGTTAAAAAGTAGCAAAGTCCTAATCACGGTCAGTGGGGCTTACATCTATCTGCTGAAGATCTATTGAGCTTTGTTCTGAAAAACAGATGCAACGATAGGCGAAGAAGATGGTTTCGAGTGCAGATGAAGAAGTTATATCATTAACTATGGTTATGAAGTAGTCAGACATAACATTAACTATGGTTATGATGTGGCCAGACATAACATTAACTATGGTTATGATGTAGTCAGACATAACATTAACTATGGTTATGATGTAGTCAGACATAACATTTTATGTTCGATCCCTGCACCGACGCGCTTCTGGTTGAGGGAGAGATTTTGTGTTAATACAAGTTTTTCACGTAGTATTGTTTTACTTACAAAAAGCTTTTTCAGGCAATAGTATTCAGTTAATACAAGTTTTCTCAAACAGTATTGTCTTACTTACAAAAAGCAATGTTGTCTAGTTATTGCAGGTTTTCTCAAACAGTATTGTCTTACATACAAAAAGCTTTCTCAAGCAATGTTTAGGTTATCTTCGTTTTCTAAATTCCTATTCTTAAAGCACAAAGTATTACAGTTATTCACTCTGTTTGTTTTCAGGGATCTCAGTAACAACAAACTTGCTGCTATCGGAGCAAAAACGCTTCGCGGTGCCCCAAGGTTATTGAACTTGTAAGTAGACATATTAGACATTTTATCTCTCTGTCTGTCCGCTTGTGTATGCAGGCATTCAGTGTAATGATCTAGGTCATTAGTAGCTGTTCAATTCTGATAGAGTCCTACTACAAAAAACAGTAGTTAACTATTGACTTTGTTCAGAAACACTATATCTTTATTAATGTCAGATGTTTCTCAATATTAATTATATCAGTTAGTGTTTGTTTAATAACTTTGAATTAAAATTAAAACTGACAATTATGTCTCTAAAAGAACTTATTTCAGAATCATATGTCTGTGTTGGATTGGAGATTCTTACTGCTCTAAACTCTTTAAGTTTTCATGGTTATGCAAAGAAAGTTTTACTGATCGCTCTTAAGCATCTTGGAGTTCCAATATAAAACAGTTAATTTTTTGAATCCGTTTTTCGTTCGTGACGTCTCTGATGGCAGCTGTTGAATCCTATCTAAACTATGGTAGTTGCTGTTGAATCCTAACTAAACTATGGTAGTTGCTGTTGAATCCTAACTAAACTATGGTAGTTGATGTTGAATCCTAACTAAACTATGGTAGTTGATGTTGAATCCTAACTAAACTATGGTAGTTGCTGTTGAATCCTAACTAAACTATGGTAGTTACGGATGAGTGTATTTTAAATAATCTAGGAACAACAGAAGTAGCGAGCATAAAAATTCAACTTTAACCCAATAATCATATGTGCCTTAATACATACCTATAAAAAGGCTAAACTAATTTTGACATCGTTGATGAATATATATATATATATCTATTTTGTATATAATGTCAATACATTTCATAGTGATGCTGAAATCTACCAGACCTACCTTCATTTGTAGCCTTCTTGACGTTTTTGTTGTTGATTTGACTATTTCACGAGCTTATTTAAGTCAATTGAAATATAATACTTCGTGCAAGTAAACCTTATGTTACCTTTCATGTTTACAACTTGAATTACATGAGTCTTGAAAATATCCTGTGCTTCTCAACGTAATGGACTCGGGCTAATCATATTTCATGTAATATTATCAAATCGTTATTAAACGTGTGAAACATAGCCGTTTGGCATTTTTCTCTAATGTGACACCTGAAACCTACATTTAAAAAATAACTGTTACATAAGCCAATATTAGTGCGTTTCATCGAATGAACACAAGATTGGCGTTTTTACTATGTAGCCCAAGTACTCCATGTATTGAAAGTGCTCAACCGTAAGTTTGTGAAATATAACCGCCATATGATGAACTACGAGAAAGACCTCTCGCAACAGCAATAACTTTCGTTACTGATGTAAACAGGATAAAAAAAACAAGAAAAAGCTCCTGATGGCATGTTTAAATGGACGATTCTATTCAATTAAAGATAGTGGTGCCAGGTTCCGTATTACGAAGAACAAGACTCTGACGAGTTTTGTTTATATAACATGTGAAATATAAAACAAGATACTAATAACTCTTAAGTATTATCGTGTAAAACAATTAGCTGCACAATAAAAAACAAGTTATTTGAAGCCAAATCTTTAAAAACACAGCGCTGATGTTGTATTGTAGTGTTTATAAAACAGAGGAACCATAATTATTTGCATGTTTAATCAAATTGCTTTTAAAATCGCAATATAATACCATAAATCGAACGATCTTTGAAGGATTGTATTTAGCTGTTACCCTTTTCACCAGAATTATATTTGCAGAAATTTAAGAAACTCATCTCAACATTCTTAACGTTTCTATTTTAGATTTAAACTCTTGCCTACACTCTGATTTAAAGCCATAATTCCACAAACCTTAAGATTGTACTTAAAAAAAAAAGCTTACCTATGATAATAATACTTCAGAAATAACGAAGATTTCAAAACAAAATAAATATACTTATAATGTAAGGTTTCTCACAAGATCGTGAGTTCTTATAAAAATAGTTGAATAGATTTAGTTACATTGGAAGTCGCAAAAATGCTCATTCCCAAAGTTCCGAAGTTCTTGGCATTAAAAGATAGAAAGTACAATGATTACTAGTCCCTGGTGTTTATGTTTTCGTTTATCTTATCCGATATGGTCCTTTTTCTTGTCATCTTTTCTTAAAACATGTATTCACCATCTTCTTTGTTATTCGTCTCTCTAGTTACTTATTATTTGGTCTCTCTAGTTACTCGTTATTTGATCCTCTTTCCATCTTCTTCATCCGGTGCAAATTCTAAGTTATACACCATACAAATTTTCCTCGTATGATGCTTCTGTTTTTCTTCTAATTATTTCCATGAATTATTATTTAAGAAACAAAACTTAATAGATATTCATTTTTAATCAACTTGCACATCACTTGCTGGTAAACAACAAGTCATCAAAATTATAAATTTCGTAATTGTTTAAAAAGTTTCATCTAAGTAGAGAACTATATGTAAATCTTACGTCTGAGAAATAACTATTGCTAACTTACAAAATGATACTTAATACTTTCAGTTCTTTTTCTTTTATTTTGCTCAAACAGCGTCATGTGTTTTAGTCTTTCGTTATCAAAACACAGATTTGGTTTAAATCACAAAATAATTATGTGAAACAATACCTCTCTCATTTGAAGGTCAGATACAGTTAGTTTTTAAACGCATAGCTGCTAGACTGTAAAAATTGGACACGTACATAAATCATCTTATTGAATGTGTATGTGACTAATTCAAAAAAAGGATAAATAATGCGGTTAATTTTTCAGAGACGTGAAACGTAGATAATCACAAAGTAATAAATAGCGTAATTAATTCTTCAAAGATATGTAGTGTAACTAGTTAGTGCTGTATCATCAGCAAACATAGTAATTTTTACAACTAAATTATAATTCACATGAATCATTTATGTATACTATAAAGAAATGGATCTAACTACAGAACCCAATGGAACGTCATACTTTATTATGTTCTCATCATTAAAATTATTTTTTAAATCTATAATCTGTATTGTTTAATACAAATAAGATTTAAACCATTTTAATGGAATACGTCTTATCACTTGAATGTTTTTCCATGTTATCTAATAATATATGATGTAATATTTAATATATGATGCCTTCTATAAATCCAAAAAATACACTCATGATTTTTCCGTCATTATCTAAGGACTCATAAATATTTTGTGTGAGGTTTAATAGGTCCTTCTCTAACTCCATATTTATTTTTAGAGAAAACATTGTGTTTATTTAAAACTGTAATCAACCTGCTTTTTACTGTCTTTTCTAATATTTTAGAAAATTCTGACAACAATAAAGTAGGTCTATAATATATACTGTATATACTTATTCTTAGCATCTTGTTGTATGTTGGGATTACTATGACTTTTTTTAAACTCATCTGGAAAGGTTCCTGTTGTAACAGATAAACGAATACAGGTGATTCTATGGCATAAATTATTTTACTATTCTAACCAAAATGCCACCATGCCCTGCACTTTTATGATATAATATATGAATTATTTTACTATTCTAACCAAAATGCCACCATGCCCTGCACTTTTATGATATAATATATGAATTATTTTACTATTCTAACCAAAATGCCACCATGTCCTGCACTTTTATGATATAATATATGAATTATTTTACTATTCTAACCAAAATGCCACCATGCCCTGCACTTTTATGATATAATTTATAAATTATTTTACTATTCCGAGTAAAATGCCACCATGCCCTGCACTTTTATGATATAATTTATAAATTATTTTACTATTCCGAGTAAAATGCCACCATGCTCTGCACTTTTATGAAATAATTTATAAATTATTTTAGTATTCTAACTAAAATGCCATCATGCCCTACACTTTTATGAGTTATTAAGTTCATAATTATAGTTTTCACTTCTTCATAACATGTACCAAGTAATAAAATTAAATTATTAATTTTGTTTATACTAAATGTTATACATCGTTCATCGTCACTTTTTTACAACTTTGTGTGTTATATTTATAAAATAAATATTTAAATATATTTGATAAATTTCTAATTATGTCATTATCATTTCATTTGATACTTCAGTATTTTTTTTACCATTATTATTATTTTTCATGGGTTGGGATTTTAATACAGGATATTGCCTTTCATTTTTTTTTAACGCGGCAGTGGGCGTAAAAACCTGTAAGGTTGCATGTAATTTTGTTTCACACTAATACAGAAACCGAAACAGCTGCATTCGTTGATCATAACTGGAACCATTTGTCATTGGGAGGTTATTCTGCTCCTCTTCCAAGAAAACGTTTTAGTATCCATTCATAGGAAAAAAGTGGTTAAATAAAAAGGTTTTCATACATTTGAAGAAGGCCTTAAAAATATTTGAAGACCCAGGTCCATATTTGTTGTGCTAGTGATATGTAAATGGTATAACTGTATTAAACGGACCTTCAAGTAAACATACAAGACAGCCACGAGCTAAATTTAAGGACAACAAGGGACCTTTGTGTTCAACTAGGTCGTCCAATCCACTAAACTCAATTCTAAGTTAAAAATAATACAATCCAATCCAGAATTTATCATTCAGTTATTTATTAAGCCTTCCATTAAACTCTCTCAAATTTACTGCATCCATCACATCTGAAAACAACCCATTCTAAATGCCAACCCACTCTGTTACAAAATAAAACTTTTAAATGAAGATGACTTCTACCCTATGTATACTATTCCCATTATTATATAATAATAAAATCATGATGATGCATCAACACTATCAGTTCCATTAAAAATCCCAAACACCTCAATCAGATTTCCTCTAACTCTTCTTTTTTCAAAAGAAAATTTCACAGATCTTAATAACCTCGCATGACAACCTATTCATCTAGGGTATCATCCTAGTAGTCCTCATTTGAACCATTTTCCACAATTCAATGTCCTTCCTAAGGTAAAGCACTTAGGACTGAATAAAATACTACAAATGTGGTCAAGCCAGTGACCTCTACAATGAAGTTATAACCCCATTTTGACCTGTGTTCACTATTTATGTAGATACGATCTATAATACTATT